CTTTGAGCGGCGCCGCCCTGCGGGCCAGGCCGGGACGCGCCCGTGCTCCCCGGGCCCGCAGGGCGGCTCACCTTGCTCTTCCCATTCTCCCAGCGTCTCGTGACGCAGGCACAAGAACTGTTTCTTTGCCAAAGTTGTGCCGAAGAGCCTTGCCCAGGGTGACGTAGGATCTGCGGAGATCCATACCGGGTCACCCCATGAAGCTTTATACAGTGTATAATACTCGTGATGGCTCTTGGTAAGGCGGGAGTCTCCTCCTTTGGCCGGCACTCAAATCGCTGTTGCCCTAACGGCAAGAAAAGGGTGGGGCACGTGTCTCCCAACAAGACCGTTTTAGCGGAGCAGAAGCAAAACACTGAAAGCCAAGAATGTCATAAATATTTGTGGGATTAGTCGTTGAGTTATATGCCCTCACCTCTGGTACGAAGTAAGTTGCGCCTAAGCAAGGCACTGTATTGGAAATGACTTTGGCCATACCCTCGCATATTATGTGAACAGAGTGCAATTGGAGTAAGGGAGGAGTAAGCAATCTCAAGAGACCTTTGTGTGCAAACTAGTAGGGTGAATGCTGCTATAGTACAGGTGCCTGGCTGGTGGACAAACGGATCTGTAGAAAGCCTGCGCTTTTGGAGCAGACTCACAAGGTTCCCATCCTGTGCTCCTGCAAACTGGGATTCCTTTGAGCGTGGGTTTTCTCTAGAAAATAAATAAGGACCATGCATCTCAAGGTGTTTTTTTGTGTGCGCGCGTGTGTGTGTGTGTGTGTGTGTGTGTGGAAAGGCCTTCACACTAGGCTACATCCCCAGCCCTTTACCGTTTTTTTTTTTTTTTAAAGGCTGAGCTTCACTGTGCAGTTCAGGCTGGCCTTGAACTCACTTTGTAGCCCAGGCTGGCCTCAAACTTGCAGCGATCCTCCTGCCCTAGCATCCTGAGTGCTGGGACTACAGGTGTGCCCCATCATACCTGACTCCAGTCCTTTATCTTTTGAGATAGGGTCTGGCCAGGTCACTTAATTTATGATCCTCCTGCCAGGGGTATAGCTCAGGGACACAGCACCGTGCTTGGCAAGCACAAGGTCCTGAGTTTGATTCCTGGTGCCCCCCTCAGTATGATCCTCCTGCCTCAGCCTCCCAGAGTGCCAAGATTACCAGTGCACCACCATGCTTGGCTCTTGCATTCTTCTGGGGGGGAGGAAGATCCTTGGGGGCTCTTGTTGTGTTTTTTTATGGTGTTTTGATTATTTAATTAAACCAGGCGTGGTGGTATGCACCTGTATTCCTAGTTACTTGTGAGACTGAGGCAGGAGGATCACTTGAGCCCAGGAATCCTATCTCTTCCAAACAAACTAACAAAAACAGGCCCAGCCCACCCATTTCTTGCTTTTGTGTCTTTTTGGTATACCTCTTCTATGTAGGCCTCCCAAATCCTTTTCTCTGTGCTCTCCAGTTAAGATAATCATTATCTATTTAAATGTCTTATCTGTCCTGCTAGGCCTCAGACCTTGTTTTATTCATCTTTCTATAGCCAGGGCCCCATAGAATCGCAATTAACACTTGCTGAGTAAGGTGATGTGCTATGCTGTACCCAGAGTTTTGACATGGTATCAGATCCTTTAATTCTTCCCGAGCACTGTGGGACAGGTGCTGTTACTGTTGTCCTGTTTTACAGATGAGGACACTGAGGCACAAATACCAACACCCAACAAATACCTGCCCAACATCCACAATGGAGTCTGGCTCCAGTGCACCTGTGTGGTACTCCCTCCAGTTGTCACCAGGCCTTTTCTGTTTCCAAGGCACCTCCAAAGCCCTGTCTTGGCCCAGGACTTGCCTTGGCCTCAGTTCAGGCACCTCCTACGTGGCTTTCAAGGCATGCGCCGCCACTTCTGTCGCCTTACAGCATAGGCCAGAGCTCTTCTTCCACAGCACACATTTGCCCAGACTCCTACCCTGCCCAGACCCTCTGTGGTGACCTTAGGCGGAAGGCCAAGCCCCTCAAGCACAAGGGCCTTTCTCCACCCCTGCAAAGGTGTGTGCTGGGTGCTGTCGGAGCCAGACTCCAGGGGGCTCCCTTGAGGAGCTTTGCAGCGGGCACTGGGTGGGTTCAGCAGGCTCTCTCCCTCTGGGGGCAGAGCTGCTGCTGGCCTCTCCGGGCTCTGAAGGGTGAGTGAGGAGTCTGGGCAGAGTTCCCTTGGCTCTGTGATGTGTGCTTGGCTGCCATCTCAGAGGGAGGGCCCGCAGCAAGGAGGCCTGGTGGGGTGAGAGCCAGAATGCGCCTTGGGGACCAGCGCCTCAGCTCCCTCAGGGATTGTGATGCTCTGAGATATGGGGAACGGGGGCGGCAGCAATGGAAGGAGGTGGTGGTAGGAAGGAGGCTGCAGGGTGCTCTGGGCCGGCCAGAGGGCCATGGCAGTCAGTAAGAAATTTTGTCCGTTGAGCTTCAGTCAGTGGATGTGGGGCAGAATAAGTGTGTAACAGGTCTCTCCTGTTAAGCATTATGGAAAAGATAAGGGGACGAGGTGGGGAGTGACGTGGGAAGGCCCAGAGAGGAGGTGACATTTAGTCCATTCATTACGTCAAACACTAGGACAAGTGTAGTCAAGTGAACAAAAGTTCCTGACCCTTCGGAGCTTAGTTCCAGTGTACGCATGTGTGTAGAAAACGGCAGATATGTCAGGTAATATTAAGTAGAGTGAATACAGGAAGAGGTCTGTGACACTGGAGCAGAGAACTGCAGTGAGGTCAGCTGCGTGGTTAAGAAGGAACACGCTTTCAGGCGAGGGAACAGCAACTCCAGAGGACCTGGCAGAGTTATGACCTGGAGGTTTTCAGTATGGCTGGGGTGTAGCAAAGGGTCCAGCTGGCTGCCGAGTGGACCGGGCTGCGCAGGAAGGAGCAGAAGCAGGGCCTGTCAGGCAGGCAAGGGTGCCCGTGCAGTGGGGAGAGATGCCAGGCGATGAACAGAGGCGGGGCAGACAGGCGAGGATGTCACTTACTGGGAGGAGGAGAAGTAGAGTGCGAGGAAATCCAGTTGGTCAGACTGGTTGAATGTTTAACCTTTTCCTTTATGTTTCTTAAATGAAGATTTTCAGTGTGCAGCAAAGTTGAAAGGATGTTTTTATGAACACCCACACACCCCGCCTGAGTTCTGCCAACATTTTGCTCTGCTTACTTTATTACTGCTGTCGCCCTCTGTTGTTCCAGCTTATCTTTG